GAAGACTTTTCAGAAAGGGTGGATGACATTTCTTCTGCAGGCAAAATCATTCCAGCATATGTGGACTATATAACTATTATATCTGATGACAGTTGTTCTGAGTATGTCCCAGATAAGCATACCTTTAAATTAGGACAGAGAAAATAATTCTCTTATAAAAACAAGTACACTCATATATGCCCCCAAAACATGTGTGTTTCATGTACCATACACCACAGTTGCTGCTTTAGACAGTCTATCTAAAACAACACCCCCAGAGTTCAAAGCTAGAGAAAATTACCAAGCTACGATTACTAGACAGGAAAACAAGAACTTTGACACTGATGCCATTGTTCTCAAAGATTCTAATGCCAATGTCAATACCAATAGACCCACAACTCATTTCCTAATTGATTCAACTAAAAATTTTGCTTCTAGTTTTTCTGACAAAACATCTGTGTGAAAAAAACACCATAAATGGTAATGATGACACCATAATTACCCCTGAAGGCTTTGACTTAGGAAATAAAATAATTGATTATTCCCTTTTTCTAGACACAAAACCCCTAACTGACAGCAGGACATTCACAACTGATACGAATCCTGCTTTAAAAAACAGTGATAATTTCCTCAGGAAAAACTTATCACCTACTATTTATAAAGTAGCTACACCCAGAAGAGCAGACACCACCAGCATATCTGATTTTACTGAAGGTGAAACAGGTATAGCTGCAGTGTCTGATTCAAGGTTTAATAATTTTCCTTTAGTTCAGCATTCCAGTGATGACGTCTCCAATGTGAATGAAAACACAGAAGGTACAATCAACACAGTTCCTAATTTCTTTTATCCCTTGAAAAAGCTGTCCACCCATATGCCAAATGCTCCTACCTCTACTAAAAACAAAAATAACATTGGCCATTATAACATTCCATCACCAGAGGGTGTCATGTCTCCAAGACTTACATCTACGGGATTACCTGAAACTCTAATCCTAACTTCTAATGCTCCTACTAAAGAAACTGCAGCCACCAGACTTGCAAAAGATGCACTTATATCATCCAACAGTGTTAATATCAGAGACACTGGAGCCTGTGTCTATAGACTATGCTTACTTTAATGAGGGCATTGCCTCAGAAGGGTAAAGTACTAAAAGTCAAAGGGTCTCAAAGACTCTACCCTTTGTCTACACTGTACTCCAAGTTGATGCCACTGGTTCTTCAAACAATATGGTAGATATCAAACATCTGCTGCTATTGTCACCAAGAATAAAATTTTTGATATTGATGATTCTGGTGATCAAAAAGAATGCAAGGAAACAACCATCAAGTTTTCTACTCTTTTGCTTAATGAACACAGTAAACCAAATTTCTATTACACAGGGGAGGTAACTAAGCTTCTGCAGTGAAAGACGTAGCTACTGAATTTGAAGAAAGTCACCTCACAGATATAAATATAGTAAAAGGAAATGATCCAGTTATCAAAGTGGGAACAAACTTTCTAAAAGATGCTGACCTAAAGCCTTACATTGTGAATAAAAATGTCATTACTGATAATAAATCAGTCAATAAGGATTATGACAGTGCCCCTGTAGAAGCTTATTCAAGCTTTCACATAACCAAGGGTTCTCTCCCAGATGGATCTGTTCCTCAGGAAACCCATTTCATGGCTTGCTCCCAGAAGTAATTATCATTATTCCTAAAGATGAAAAATCTTCATCTAACATGGAGATAATTTCCACAGTAGAAGGAAATTCTCAGTTAAAATTTAATGCAGCCAATCTCAAAGCAACAGATACTGAATTTCAAGCTTCAGGAAGCAGAAATGTTACACATGAATCCATTGTTGAGATAGAAAAATGTTACCTAAATTTGAAGGAATTCATATTGTACCACAAGCTAACAAGGAGGCTGAAATAGATACTTTCTTTAAGACTGATATTTCTCAGTCACATATAGAAACAATTATCCCAAAGGATATCCATGAGGCACCTACAAACAACAAAGCAGATATGAGGGTTGTGACTGACCCTGCTGTAAATACCATCTTCCCTGGAAACAAAGAAATAGTTACCTCACAGACCAACACGCTTCAATTACAATTTCCTTACTCAAGTATCCAACATTCAAATCACTGAAAGGGAAGAGAAAAAAGTGGACGTTGTTACAACCAAATCTCAAAATGTAATGCCTCCTCTCAGTTCCTTCACTGTTTCTAAGGTGGGAATTCTTTAGTGAATGAAGATGTTGAAACTGAAGCTTCCACAGCAGCTGCATTCTAGTAATGTTTATAATCCTGTCAATTAAGGTTAAGTACTATATTTTCTCCAATAAATTTATAAAATCTGAAGATATATAGACTGTTTCTAAAACAGGAATTCTGTTTCAGTTGATTCATTTAAAACTGCACATGGCATTTCTTCTGATAACTCTCAACATATTCATGATACAGATAAAATCTCAATAGTGGACATCCCTATGATATCAGCATTTTCAAAGTTTATATCTGAGAATTCTTGTAGTCATGTATTCCTGAAAATCATAAATGTGACAGATGACCTTCCTGGGGACTTATTGCAAAATCTCTGCCTTTAGTTAGCAGTTTCTACTTTTCACTAAAAAAAGAAAAAACAATTGAAAAAATTGTTACCTAAAAGGAGACATAATCACCAAGCCAAACACCTCAAAGTTCAGAGCAAATGAAATATTAAAAAAATGTTACCCCAGCAAACTTGCTATAGCTGTCAAAATAAGGAAGATATATAACTTAAAGGACATGTCAGTATATATAAATTTAATACGTTTCTGGGAAAAGACAAAATGTTCTCCTTAGTGTGATAGACACTAAAACAATGGAATAAACTACTATTCAGATAAAATGAAACTTACTTATAGAATCTGATCCTCTGTTAAGTCAGATAATATCTTTGCTAGTAATGATCTGTTGGTCAAATAAGTGTATACTATATTCCCTACAGCAGATGACCCCAGTTACATCCTCAAGACTGCTAGGATCCAGCAATCCCACAAGGATTTTCTTCATATGCTTCCTGTTTTTCAATGGATGACACACTCTCAATCTGAAGTGTCCTTTTTGAGGTCAATGGCGAAAAAAAAAAAACCACACATATAATAGTAAAACTATTCTCCATAGAGAGAAAAGCTTTATTTTGCTACAATCAATGTGATTCAACTTCACAGCTATATTAGTAGGAGAGCTGATGTGATCACAGAAGTAATCTTTGAAATGAAAGACTATTTGACAATTATTATTTGTGAAGCTGATATTTTACCTGACATTTCTAACTGGGGATTAAATGCTCATAAAAATGAATATTTTGCTCCTTATTTTTACTCTAGACAACATAACAAATACCAAATACTCCAAGATAACTTCTAGCAGTTATACACCTAACACCTCCATTTTTACCTGTTTTGTACACACACACAAAAAAATTCCCCCCAAAAAACACCAGGTCTTCTGTTTATAGCATGCTTTATCCTAACTTAAGCTTCACAAACACCAAATGATGAGAAAAAAAAAAAAAAGTAGAGGTTAAAAACCTCCCATTAAGCTAGCCAACACAGAGATTGGCTTTACCCTCTGATTTCCTTCACTGCTGATGGAACTGATTTTATTTCTATTTAGAAATAAAAAACCCTGTCACTAACTTGAGACTTCCTTCTCTGTCCCAGATGCTGACAGCATTCCTTAAATCAAAAAAGACATTGGAGCCCTCAATAATAGTGATATCCCCTTGAAGCAAAAACATTTCTGAGAAGCTTCCTATATCTTTAAAGTGAAAAATATCCATCATAAAACCTATCTTATATTTCTACAGGGTATGGTGATATATCTATCCCAGACCAATCAACTAAGAGAAAACACTGCTGAGTTTGAGGTTGAGTCCATATCTAATGAAGAACAAGCATTTGTCTTTGAGATGGAAACCACTACTTTGGCTAATGCTGCTGCCCTTTTTCAGATTTAGCTCTGCCTGAGTCTGAAAATTCTCTTTCTTCTAACAACACTGGGAAAAGATTAACACCAGAATACAATCCCCTTTTATCGAATTAGCTAAAGCTTAAGGATGATAACAAAGTAATGATGACTGATATAACTAACATCATTATAGAAAATGCTCCCTCTGAAACTGAGGATATAATTATTAAGGCTAATACAGTTATTTCCACACCCTGATCTTGTTTCTGGGTATTTTGACATATAACATGAACTCCCTGCCAGAAAAGCCATTTGGGGTTGAAATAATACTCTCTACAGAAAAACATTCCTAAAGAAATTAAACCTACAAAACCTGACAATCACACCGTTATCCAAGTTAATTCAAGAAAAACAATTACAATAAAGAAGAAAACTGCCAAGACCTTAATAGGCCAGTAACGTATTTTTTATTATACCTACTGAAAAAGTGAGAATTCCCTCTCTGAGGAAAATAACTAACTGAAATCTCTGCTACCTAATTACCTTCTGCAGCTACATCCACTGTCAAAAATGCCATTAATTTGTTTTAGACATTTAAATAGCATGAAGCTCAAGAAAAGATGCTTCATCTCAAAAAGACACTGTTACTTACTTGAGAGACAGACATCTTGAAACGAATGCTGATAATCCGTGGCTCCTGGTGTTTCCGCCATTGACACTAAACCAAAAAAGTACCTGGCAAACTCTGCTATGTCTGTTTCAAGTGACACTAGCCACATGTTGGAAAGTATATCCCTTATAAACAGAGACATGGTAAATCCCAAGTTCCTTGTAATTGTATTATTTGGCTCTGAATGTTTATTTCATAATCAGAGGGGACTCTATTGTCTTTTCATCTAATAACAGTAATCATAACAGTGCCCAATCAGAGCACAGAAACAACCTCCAAGGACAGCCAGTGCCATTGGCCCTGTGGTTGATGCAACAATCACCATGATGACCAATGCTTCAGTCACTATAATGAACACCACTCTCCTGCCTAGGGATACCACCGAGCCCAGGGAAAGACCTCTGAGTGTGCATGGTGCCACTTTGTCCCTTGGCTGAGGATGGTTTGCCGAAAATTTATTCTCATCCTCCAACAGAAAACACTAAGATAACAACTGAAGCAACCATTTTCTTTGGAGCTAACAACACTATTCTTAAATCAGAAACAACTATTACTTCAGAAGGAGACCACATTACTTGAGTAAATGACTATGTGCTAGAAAGTGATTTTTCAACAAATACAGGCAACAAGCTTACAGCTACAAAGGAAAGACTAAAATTAGAAGATGAAGTTGAATCCCATCTGGAGAAAGAAGTTGCCACTCTGACAGACACTAAAAATCCAATGACTAATGAGTCTATTACTGAAAACTTCATGCCCATGAAAACTGGTAATATATCATCACCAGCTGCTGTTTTCTTAATAGATTTTTACACTGACATGGCAGAAGATATTCTCTTGGATACCATTGACCCAGGGTATGAAGATGTCTCACTAATTCCTGAAGTCTCTAGCACACTAAAGGAAAGCACAGCCAGCATTGCTGATACCCCTATCTTTCCAGCTACAATGGGTGAACCTGATATTAACAATTATAGTTCCACAGTTAAGTTCAATGTCACTGCTGATGAGGATGTCGATATCACTGACTCCTCTATCCCTGAGGCTGAAATTGCTCCAGCTACTGAAAAAAATTTCACCACTATTCCAGACGTAATCACCATTACAGAAGAGAAAGTAACTGAAATTGACCTAATTCTTCCTGAAAATGACCCCAATGCTGTGCCTAAACTAACTGATTCTGATGAGGAAAAGTTCATCACTGTGTTTGAACTCACTATCACTGTTGAAAGAGACAAAGATAACTCAGAAGATATTCTGCTAACTGATGAAGAGTCTACAGGTGGAGTCAGTGTTTGGATGGAGAGAGATATGACAAATGAAGCAGAGAGCCATCCTGTTTTGCTTACTGCTTTTGAATCCAGATATGACTTCTTTGTCCCTGCATCAGTAGCTACGAACTGCATGGAAGATTCACCTACTATGACAAAAGATTTGTCTGAAAATGATAGAATGGAATCTGTAACAAAGGACACTGAAGCACTGTCAGGAACTAACCTGATTTAGATACCCTAAACCATAAGGAAGGCACTTTCATAACTGAAATGGGTGTCTTTAAACTACTGAAAGAAGAACCATATGAGTTCCTGATTTAAAAGCAATAAAAACAACAACAAAAATGCCAGAGAATTGTGCAATAGCCCAGATAGCTAGTTTTAACATCTAAGAAGTTTGTCCAGCAAGCAAAAATCTTAATAAATGAAAGAATGTGAGCATTTAAGGCAAGTATAAAACTTAGAAAATACAGATGTTTAAAAATAGTGGTCATACAGCACAATATATTTATGGAAACTTTAAAAACTCAGCAATACAGGAGTTCCTCTACTATCACAAAGTTTAATTGAGTTATTCAATAATTACTTATTTTAATATAAAATCTTTAATCCCAGTCTTCAGGGGTATTAAGAGAGAGCAATAAATAAAGTTCACTCCCTGCTGCATCTAGCCTATTTATTTTAGTTATCCTTAATAGCATATTTTAATGTGAGTTAAAGAGACAAAGATAATCAAATTAACAATGTATCTCAAAAACAATTATTGTAGTATTAAAAGACCTTAAATGCTTATTCTAAACAGATATTTTATTAGTATGCAACCAATGATTCTCTTTTATTAAAAATATATTTCCAGTCCTCACTCATAGAAGAATTAAGGCTATTTAGTAATTGTTTAGCATCCACTTGTAAGAAATATAAGAAATATTACAGGGTTCCTGGCTCATGTTGGATGCAAACTAAGGCAAAACCGTTATTTTACAAATGTGTACATTTGTCAAAAACAATATTGTATATAAACATGTGAATCAATTTAATTTTTTTTCTTTAAAATTTCGTTCCTGAATTTTTGTCAATATTTTTCAGGTCTTAAGCACTGATACCACACTCTTCTTATGCTTTTGGTTAGCAATTCAAGGACATACATCTTCATTCTTTTCTGATACCAACTTCTAAAACTAGTCTGTTTCCACTTTGCTGAATTTTCTTAAATAAATCTTGTTGACAGCAACTGGTTTACTGTGTGTAAATGTGATTGATATTCTAGACCAGAATTCTCAAATTAAGAGAGATATGAGTAAAATGAAAATCCATTGTTTGTTTAAAGAATAACTTAATAATAGCTCTGGATACAAAGAATAGAATTGTCCTTTAAGGACTCATGATTTTATTATATTTAAAAAAGAAAAACAATACCAAATACTAGTTGAAAGTTAATGGTACATATGTGGGAGGTGGACAGAGAGGGATAGGGATTTACACCATTAGATAGACTATAGACTAGAATAATGTTAAACAAGTAAATGCCTAACTACAGATTGTGTTAGATATACAAGCAAAATAATAATAATAATAATAATAATAATAATAATAATAATAATAATAATAGATTATAGCTTCAAGCTTCACACAAATTCAAATCCAGGGAAGTTGTGCCTGAGAAAGTGAGATTTAAACTAAAGATTGAAAAATGTGGAGAGTTGGGGACACTAAATGCCCAAAGCCCTGAGGCTAGAAATGGCTCAAATTATTCAAGAAAATGAACAGACTATGTGGTTGGAACATGTCATCAGTTGGAAAATGACACAAGTTGAAATGAAAAAGTAGACAGGAGGCAAATCATGCGGTGTTTGTTGAACATTCTGGATTCTATTCACTGTATATTTGAAGGCTATTAAAGGTTTTAATCATTTTATCCTCAAATCAACCTTAGTACTGAAATAGGAAGCAAGCTGAAAAGCATCATTATTTTAAAAATCAGCTATAGTTTCTTCCAGGGACTTTGTTTAAGGAGGGAGGATCTTCCCTTGCTTCTTTCTAGCTTCTGGTGGTTGCTAGCGATCGTTGACTTTCTTTGGCTTATAGACATATCACTACAATCTCTGCCTCCTTCATCACATGGTGTTCTCTTTTGTGTCTCTGTGTCCAAATTTCTCCTACTTTTGGGACACTGGTCATTGGGTTACACCCCTTAATTCAACAGGACCTCATCTTAACTTGGTTACATCTGCGAAGATCTCATATCTGAATAAGGTCACATTCATATGTTCTGGGAGTTAAAACTCCAACATATTTGAGAGTGGGAGAAAAGACACAATTCAACCCATAACACCTGTTCATACAATGTTTATCTTCCCTACTCGTTTTTATGTTGGATATTTGTATGATCACATAAACCGGAACACTTCTGAGACTGAAAGAAGGCACTATTAATAGTGACTCCAAAACAAGAGGCATAAACTAGAGTGTCCTGAGTAAAGAGATCTTATAACCCCATCCTAAGGGAAGAGATCAAATCTCCCTTTTCCACTGCTCAATTCTGAGAGCTTTGAACACAATAGAAGTTCAATAAACATCTGTTAAATGAACGAGTTAAATGAAATAGTGAACGAAGATTTCATTTATTAGGCTATGAATGCTCTCAGAGGAAGGATGGTATAAACTGGATACTTATAGATGAAAATGAGCTTACCAGGAGACAAAACACCTGTATGCAGAAAACTATAAGACACTGATGAAAGAAATTAAAGATGATACAAATAGATGGAGAGATATACCATGTTCTTGGATTGGAAGAATCAATATTGTGAAAACGACTATACTACCCAAAACAATCTACAGATTCAATGCAATCCCTATCCAACTACCAGTGGCATTTTTCACAGAACTAGAACAAAAAATTTCACAATTTTATGGAAACACAAAAGACCTTGAATAAAAACAATATTGAGAAAGAAAAACAGAGCTGGAGGAATCAGGCTCCCTGACTTCAGGCAATACTACAAGGCTACAGTAATCAAGACAGTATGGTACTGGCACAAAAACAGAAATATAGATCAATGGAATAAGATAGAAAGCCCAGAGATAAACCCATGTGGATATGGTCACCTTATGTTTGATAAAGGAGGCAAGAATATACAATGGAGAAAGGACAGCCTCTTCAATAAGTGGTGCTGGGAAAACTGGACAGCTATATGTAAAAGAATGAAATTAGAACACTTCCTAACACTATACACAAAAATAAACTCAAAATGGATTAAAGACCTAAATGTAAGGCTAGACAATATAAAACTTTTAGAGGAAAACACAGGCAGAACACACTTCCACATAAATCACAGCAAGATCTTTTTTGACCCACCTCCTAGAGAAATGGAAATAAAAACAAAAATAAACAAATAGGACCTAATGAAACTTGAAAGCTTTTGCACAGCAAAGGAAACCATAAACAAGATGAAAAGACAACCCTCAGAATGGGAGAAAATATTTACAAACAAAGCAAGTGACAAAGGGTTAATCTCCAAAATATACAAGCAGCTCATGCATCTCGATATCAAAAAAACAAACAATCCAATCCAAAAATGAGCAGGAGACCTAAATAGACATATATCCAAAGAAGATATACAGATTGCCAATAAACACATAAAAGGATGTTCAACATCACTAATTGTTAGAGAAATGCAAATCAAAACTGCAATGAGGACTTCCCTGGTGGCACAGTGGTTAAGAATCTACCTGCCAATGCAAGTGACACGGGTTTGAGCCCTGGCCCAGGAAGATACCAATACCACGGAGCAACTAAGCCCGTGTGCCACAACTACCGAACCTGTGCTCTAGAGCCTGTGAGTCACAACTACTGAGGCCACGTGCCACAGCTACTGAAACCTGCATGCCTAGAGCCTGTGCTCCACAACAAGAGAAGCCACTACAATTAGAAGCCCACACACTGCAACAAAAATTGGCCCCTGCTCACCACAACTAGAGAAAGCCTGCACACAGCAACGAAGATACAAAACAGCCAAAGAAAATAAAAACAAACAAATTAATTAATTAATTTTTAAAAATTACAATGAGCTATCACCTCACACTGGTCAGAATGGCCATCATCGAAGATCTACAAACAATAAATGCTGGAGAGGGTGTGGAGAAAAGGGAACTCTTTTACACTGTTGGTAGGAATGTAAATTGATACAGCTACAATGGAGAACAGTATGGAGGTTTCTTAAAAAACTAAAAATAGAGCTACCATATGACCCAGCAATCCCACTACTGGGCATATACCCTGAGAAAACCATATTTCAAAAAGGGTCATGTATCACAGTGTTCATTGCAGCACTATTTACAATAGCCAGGACATTGAAGTAAGCTAGGTGTCCACTGAAAGATGAATGGATAAAGAAGATATGGCACATATATACAATGGAATATTACCCAGCCATAAAAAGAAACGAAATTGAGTTATTTGTAGTGAGGTGGATGGACCTAGAGTCTGTCTTACAGAGTGAAGTAAGTCAGAAAGAGAAAAACTAATACTGTATTCTAAGAAATATATATGGAATCTAAAAGAAAAAAAAAATGGTTCTCAAGAACCTAGGGGCAGGATAGGAATAAAGACACAGATGTAGAGAATGGACTTGGGGAGGGGGAAGGGTAAGCTGGGAAAAAGTGAGGGAGTAGCATTAGCATATATACACTATCAAATGTAAAATAGATAGTGGGAAGCAGCTGCATAGCACAGGGAGGTCAGCTCAGGGCTTTGTGACCACCTAGAGGGGAAGGATAGGAAGGATGGGAGGGAGACACAAGAAGGAGGGGATATGGTGATATATGTATACAGATAGCTGATTCACTTTGTTATATAGCAGAAACTAGCATAACATTGTAAAGCAATTATACTCCAATAAAGATGTTAAAAAAAAAAAAAGTTACCATCTGCTAATACTTTCTTCCAGCTCAGAGTCCATAACATTAGTAGCAAGGCAAATATTGCAAATAGCAATCTTAATTATGAAAATGTTCATTAGACTTAGTGTTTGCAGTCAAGTTTCAGTAATTATTGCCTTCTTAGTAAAATATCCTGTTCTTTAAGAAAACATTGGAAATAAAGGAAAGAAATTGACTCAAAATATTATTTTTAAATTGTAAAGAGAAAGCCTTCACTTTTTCTGATGCATAGATAATTAACCATGATGTTTTCTCAGGAAAATTAAAAAGGACAAATGTCAACCCTTGAAGATTATAACACTCCCTTTTTGATTCAGGAAATAGTTTGGATTAGCCGAGAAACAAATGTTAAAATAATAATAATAATAATAATAATAATA